AGGCGCATAGAAAAAGCTACTAAATAAATTGAGAAGGTAATCACTGAGGATAATAAAACAGTGTGGACATACATGAATCTAATTACACTGTTTGAGCTAGCGCTTGCTAAGGTACGTGACAAGTCTACTCGGAAAAGAAGACACAAACCCAAGAGTTGGTGGGTTGAGGAAGTAGAGAGAGCCATAGCAATACGTCAGCAAGCTTCTAGAGAACACAGACATGCTAAGCAGCGGGGTGAACCGACAGATGATGTTGAAAGAAAATGGGACATCTTTCGAAGCTGTAGAAAGGAAGCATTTTTTCTGATCAATGAAAAGATTAGAACAAAAGGGGGCTCAGTGGCTGGCCAAAGTACATAAAAAGGATAAAAAGGCAGCTGCGAAATTACGGGATCATTTAAACTAACTCCCTAAAAAATGAGACGAGCCTAGGACAGAGGTTCATAACTGCAGTTCAAGATGCTAGGGTAGAAGGGGATAAAGCTATTTATTATATAAGAACAAGGGTGACAGAAAAATTTCAACAAAGTGCCTTATGCACCACAATAGACAAGGATAAATCAAGTGGCGCAATGGCTTCATTTTCACAACGAGCGTGGGAAAGGGCTGAGACAGGGTTTCTAGTAGTACACCAACAGGCCCAGATGGCATTCCGACTATGCTGATAAAGACACTGCGTCCGAAGTCTAAGCGAACATGAAGAGAGGCAGTGAGCAAAATAATAATCGATGATGAAGTGTGCGATTGATAGAAACTTTGCAGAATGAGCATATCTATAAAGGAAAGGGGGACAAAGCTGACATAAACAACTACCATACTATAACAGGGACATCAGTGATCTACAGGCTGGCGATGCAGGTTATGAAGGAAAGGCTGCAGGCATAGATAGAGGATGAGGGGGTGCTGGGAGAACTACAGAATGGGTTTCGGAAACACAGGACGTTGGAAGACAATCTGTCTTCATGGACGCAGAGCATCGAAATAGCACAAAAGGAACACAGGCCCCTGTGGATATCAAGGGAGCGTACAATAGCGTGGTTCAAGAGGACTTGTGTAGAATACTGGACACACTAGATGTGAAAGATCAAGCCACTAATCTTTTAAAGGATATCTATAACGGTAACAAGGTAGTTATAAAGTGGGAAAAACAGGTATCCAAGCCCGTAGAGGTAAAACGGGGGCTTAATCAGGGCTGTTCTCTGTCACCCTTGTTATTCATTATGTACCTACAAGGACTAGAGGCCAAATTAGAGAAAAGTGGACTTGGCTTCAACCTCTCTTTTGTGAAACAAGGAAAATTTATTGAACAGGCTCTGCCAGCTTTGATATGCGCAGATGATATAGTGCTTATGGCCGACAACAAAGAAGATTTGCAGAGATTGATGAACATCTGTGGTAATGAGGGAGATAGATTAGATTTCAGATTCAGTAAAAAAAATCAGCAGTCATGACTTTTAGTTATAATGAAGGTAGTGAGCTTAAAATACAGGAGGTCACGCTAGAGATAACAGATAAATGCAAATATCTGGGCGTATGGATAAGCAATGGGACTGAGTACCTAAGGGAACGCGAAATATACGTGACGACTAAATGTAAGAGGAATGCAGCAGTGATGAAAAACAGGGCACTGTGGAATTACAATAGGTATGATATCGTGAGAGGGATATGAAAAGGGGTCATGGTTTCTAGGCTGACGTTCGGCAATGCGTTCTTGTGCATGAGATCAGAAGTTCAAGGAAGATTAGAAATTAAGCAACGTGGAATAGGTCACGTTGCCTTAGGCACTCACGGGAATACACGAAATCGGGGAGTACAAGGTGATATGAAATGGACATCATTTGAGGGCAGGGAAGCTAGCAGCAAGAAAAAATTTGAGAAGCGATAGAGAGAAATGGGGGAGGAGAGCTGGGCTAGGAAGGTATTCAGTTACTTGTACATGAAGAATGTCGATACAAAATAGAGGAAAGGCACCAGAAAATTGACTGGTAAATACTTAGAAAAACGCAGGGGGCCAAACCAAAAATATTTATCAGTTAAGAAAAAGGTGAATGAAGCTGAGACCGATATGTGGAGAATCAGCAGGATTAAGAAGTCCGCACTAGAGATCCATCTAACTCTGAAGCAGGCAATCGCCAAGGAAAAGATCTATGATAATAGTCGGGGTAGTTCTCTACTGTTTGAGGCCAGGACGGGAGTTTTGCGAACCAAAACATATCGCGCCAAATACGAAGGGGTAGACACGGTATGATGTGCGTGTGGAGAGGAGGAGGAAACTGCCGGACACTCGGTAACGGTTTTTAAAAGGCTTCACCATATAGTTCAGGATTATGGCACAGAGTTTTTCAAAGCACCGGGGTTTATAGAGAGGGAGGGCAAAATAGACTTTAAGCGGGTAGAAATAACTAGAAGGAGGTTATCTGATTGGTGGCTAAAGTCAAGGCACGAGAGAAAATTAAACCCTGAACTGTAAAGTACGAGTCCTCAAGCTCACTTTTTACAAGAAGAAAAAAAGAAATCTAGTTTTTGGTTCACTAAGTATTGTGGCTTGGTGGCGTTATCCACCACCTGATCTAAAGGGTACAGCCATATCAACCCATCCATCCATCTATCCATCGAACGGTGCGGGAATGTAAACGCGCTGCCCGAAGTGGCCGGAACGGGAGCACTGCTGGGGCCGGGGCTGGTGGGGTCGAACAGGGCGCCTTTGCTTGTAGAGCAATATATTCGGGGGGACGGTGTTCCCCGCAAGGGTGAGGGTGAGGTGGTTGCCTCTGCGGACATCAGACACTAGTGGCACAGGCAACGCAATGTTGTCTGCAAGGACCTCAAAGTGGATCGTTGGGTTCACTCCGAAAACCACGCCAACGCAGGTGTTCAGGTCGAGTTCTTTGGCCCGCACTTTCGTGTCGTAAGTCGTCCCGACCTGAAGTAGGGCGGTCAAATTGGCAGTAGGGTGAGTATCGACCGCAACAAGGTTTCGCCGAAAATTCACTCGGACTCGCTAGGTGGCTGGGAACCCCGAAAAAAAGGCGGCAATTGCATCCCTCGACGCAGCCAGGAAGTTTGCCTTCTTCCCGATCGGCCGAAAAAATGATGGTGACCCCACAGTCGGAAAGAGGAGGGTCGCCAGCGAAGTAGGGATAATCGGAACGCGGTGACGTGCTTGATGGCACAGACTGCGCACTGGGGGCGGGTGACGATTGCTCGGCAACCGCAGTGTTGGAGAGGCGAGAGGAGGGGTTGCTGCTGGGACAATATTCTGTGCAGGAATCCCCGCCCGTGGAGAAGAGGAAGCACCAGTTTCACTTTCGCTTCACTCGAAACCAGCGAAAGGATGACAATGTGATGGCTGCTGTCCTCTTGGGGTGTGTTTTCTTTTCGGAGCGTGCAGGCTTGGTTTGTGCCTCTTGCTGCTGAGTTTGCATGGTTGTTGATGCCGAGGAGGCTGTGAGAGCATCCTCACGGCCTCCTTAGTTGCCTCTAAAAAGCGCCATTTGTAGCCCTTACAGGGCTGTGCGCGAAAAGCGCAGAGCGAGGAACAGGATGAAATCGAGAGCGCAGAAAGACGCGTTATACTTCGGTGAAATCTCGCGCGAATCTCCTCCTTCCCCCTCTGTCTCCTCTATAGGCACAGAGTTTCCTACATATACACTAGTGGGGACTCTGGCACTCTCTCCGGGAACTACAACTCATGACGCTTCAGTGAGCATGAAAAATATGAGTAGTACACGAATTTGCCTAGTCTTCGTACTTTACGTTCGTTTTGGCATCGCATGGCTGGAACCTGTTTTGTCACAAAACAACAATCGGCAAAAGTTCAGCAGCTGAACTTCAGCACCTTAATATTTTGGACTTACCATTTTGAATCAGGTCACGGAGTTCGAAAGGATTCTTTCTTTCCTTCAAATCAAAGCCGAAACACAGCAACAAACAAAGCCACGAGTGCCATTCCCCAGTTGCAAGTTCAAAAACTTGGCATATCCTTATACTACCCGTCATTTCCATGGTCGCTTAACGACCGCAGCACTAGAGTAGCTTCTAAAAAACTTTATCAAACTCTTTGCCTCCAGGTGTGCCTTCACGCGGCGTTCACACCGCCATGCGCATGCCCGTTTTCTCCCCCTCTCTCTTCTCTCCTCTTAATTCTTCCCCCTCTCTCGCCTTGCAACGCCTACACAGGCAGCGTCTGCTAAAGAGTTTCTTGATTGAAAGAAAACAGACTGCTCACGCTGCACAACCGTCAACTTGCCATCCCGCATATATAGGTAAATCTTGACCTCCAAGGTAATGCTGGTAGAACATTTTTCCTGTGCGTTGGTGAACAACAAAAATGGCTGCGTACGCATTTAACAAAAGTGGACTGCAGGTCTATTTGTCGCATAGAAGCCCCTCAAGGCCAATTAGCAGTGATTAGCATGTTCCAGTATAGAAAACACCGGTCTATCACTGCGTGCTTTGCGCCTCCCCCAGGTTTCTCTAATGCGCAACGCCGCGATGTGCGCCAGCGGCAACCATGCCGCCTTTGTAAGGATTAGAGCCCACTGCTTCGCATCTACACAGAGTTCCCTTTAGTGGGACGTAGAGTAAATTTTTATTAAACTGTAATAAATGCAAGCGTCCGGTGGCGTTCCTCAGAATCATATGGTGGTTATGGTACGTGAATTACCACAAACCAAATCAAGCGTCCTGCTTCTTACACGATGCATGCACGTTTCGTCGATGGTGCTGCCTCGACTCTTCAGCTCGACTGCAAAGCCATACTAATATATGTAGATTTTTCAAAATATATACAGAGTGGTGGTGTATTAGGGCAGATTTATCCACTTTAATTAACAAAGAAGGAAATAATGTTCTCCTCAATGAGACAAGTGCTTTCTGTTCATGCAGTTGTCAGTATTCATAAGAGATATCTGTGGAGAACCATCTTGACTGCAATATCTTCTTGATAAATATGTCTATATGAGCTCAAAGGCAACTGAAGGCACTGAAGATCCACTTACGTCAGTTTACTTTAGCGTAGTCACAACTACGATTGTATCCAGGAGTGCCTCCGAGTCTTCCGCGTCCTGTCCCGCTATATGGAGCACATCCTGTAATCCAAATAGTTGAAATCATTATGATAAATGAGTACGATCCAGACAATTAGCGAGAATAATACCTACAACTAAAAAATTGCGTTCCTTCTGCTTGGAAGCATATTTCGCCACAAAAGAGTTCTTTGCCAGGGCCTATGAAGACTTCATTGACGTATCTTCGTCATGGAAATGGCGTAAAAAATGTAGTCAGATGTCAAAACAATAAACTTTATGGCAAAGGTAATCGAACCTATAAACTCTCGGTCCAAAACAACACATGCCGAGCAGGCTATCCACGTAACTGCACCAAGACAGTAGTGACTAACTTCTTTGCAAACGCGAATTTTATATCTGCTTCTTTCAACACATTGCTCCTATCGAGTGGGTGATGTCACACTCTCAGAGCAGTGAAGTAGTTAATCATTACTGTGCCTTCCGTGAATAGCATGTGCAACGCGTGTTCGTCGCAGCCTGCGCGTTTCGAGTAGAAGTGCGATTTTGACAACGCATTAGCGTACCACGAGGTGACCACCAGAGTTCAAGTGTCGGCCTCGTTCATAGCGTTCATCTAATCTAAAAATGTATCTGCGAGACTAGCCTCCCTCAAGTGCCTGTACTTCCACGTTCATCGCTTAGGCTCACCAAAAAAAAACTTGCTGCTGGCCTACAGGGGACACGACGCACTTATTCGGTGAGAAAAACATCTTTCACAGATGTGTGTAACGCCAAACGTACGTGCCTCCGTATGAACAAGTCGCAACGCGTTTTGCTCGTCGCGGGTGTAGGAGCGCTGCCAAGTAGGTCTTGCCGCAGCGGCGCGTTGACATCACGCTCCCCTCGCTCTCTTTCCTCGCAGGTACGCGCTGACGTCACTCTCTCCCGCAACCATAACACGCTCACCACAGCGACCACACCTGCCTGCTCCCACGCCCTCTCGCAACACACTTCTGTGTCTCTTCACCTTCTCCACTGCCCGAAAATATCTAGGTGGTTCCTGACGGGAGACGAGATTGTGCAGAATGAAAGTGGCTACGTGTTTGGCTGCAGATGAAGGGAGGCATGAAACTTCGGTGTACCGCGTGAGGTGGTCGATGTCAACTATGATTGAATGAATACCGTCTACAGTGCTTGAAAGGGAACCGTAGATGTCGATGCCGATGCAGTCAAACAGTCCGCAGATACACCGCAAAAGAAATAAGGGGCTGTTGGCGCCTTGAGGGGAAGTCTTTCGTCTATGGCGTGTAGATAAAGCCTGAACGTAGTGTCGAACAAAACGGTAAGTACCACGCCAGTAGTATCAGAGGCATATGTGAGAGTTTTTAAGAAACATGCGTGGCCACAATGCGGGTCGTCATGAAACATTGCAAAAATTTTAGATCACAGGTGACTTGAATGACGAGTAGCCACTGACGTCAACCGGATGTGTAGTTGCGTCCGTACAACACGTTGTCACAAGTGGTGAAGTTCTCGACTGGCCGACGTAACGTTGAGAAGAGGGAGAAAGGGTGTGCCCAGCCAGGACATCCAGAATAAAAAAACAAGCCATAGGTTCTTGCACTGCTCGAATGGCATGTCGGTGATGGTGATGACAGTGGTGTCATAAATTAGAATTGTGTGGTAGGCAGGATCAGGAGACAGGGGTGAACAGGATATCGCCTTTAATCCGCATGTTTTTGGCTGAAGCGATGCACCACGTGTATATCGTACTGTTGTAGGCATAACGTCCACCGGGTGAGGCTACCACTTGGATCCTTAGTGACGACAACCAGCAAACGGCTTAGTCGTCAGTCACGACGTAAAAAGGGCGCCCGTACTCGTTGGGCTAAAATTTCTCGCCCAAATAATAGTAAGGCATTCTTTTTAAGTGATGGAATAGCAGCTTTCGGCTTTGTTAAGCGTTCGGTTTGCAAAGACAATGGCGTACTCTTGGAAGCCGTCTTTCCGCTGCGCAAAAATAGCGCTCAGCTTGACATCACTAGTGTCTGTGTGGATTTTTGTGGGTGCAGATGTGTCATATTGCCACAGAATTGGCATCGATTTGATGAGGTTTGTTAAAACTATCGTCCCAAGTGAACTACCATGTCGAAAGATCACTAGAGCCGGGGAGGAGCTGATCATGGGGTGATGATCATTGCGAAATTGCGGACGAAGTGCTGGAAATAAGAAGAGAGGCAAATGAAGCTTCGGAGCTAGTTCGAGGTAGTCGGTTTGGAAAAGTGAAATGGCTATTTGTTTGACAGGATCAGGTAAATTGCCGTGCTTCGAAAACCCGTGACCAAGAATGGTGAACGCACGAGCGGCCGAGTGGCACTTCTTCAGATTTTGTTGGAGCCCCACTACGGAGGGACAAGTGAGGAGATACTTGGGTGGGTTAAATGTGTTGAAAATCTGTTGAAAAGATGACTCTGTCACTAAAATACCAAAAAAATATTCTCCTTAAGGCCTCGAAAGATGGTGTTGTTCGTTCGGTCGAAAGTAGCTGGTGGGTGGCCGAGGCCCAAGGGCATGACTTAACTCGTACGGCCCGTCGGGCATGAGGAAAGTTGTTTGTCTTGTGATCTGCATCCTCCGTAGGTACCTGCCGGTATCAAGAGCACTCATCTAAGAAAGAGAAGAATTCCGCTCCATGCAAGCAGTACAAGGCGTCGTCGATGCGCGGCAGAGAATAGACATCAATGCGAGTGATTCGGTTGAGACGACTGTATTCTATGGGAAACCTTATGGGTTCGTCCTTTTCTTCAACAGCACAACTGGAGAGGCCCATAGACTTCTAGACGGTTCGATTATGCCACGTTTGAGGATGACGCCGGCCTGCTGATCGATGACACAGTGTTCGGCATTTGACACGCGCTATAAACGCCGTCGTAATGGTGTCTGTTGACCGACATCAATACGGTGAACAACAGACGACGCTCGACCTAAGGAAGGCTGGTTGTTGTCAAAGGAGGCTCTAAAACACTGAAAGAGTTCGATCATCTGTTCCTGCAGCCAAGACATTAGGTGAGAATTGATTCATTTGCTCAATACGTCCTTAGCATCATCGGTGTCGGTTGCAGGGATAAAGGTGCAAGTCGATAGCGAAGGCTTGTCTTCGAAAAAGCAATCTAAGTTCTCGAGGCTCCCCAGACACTGGCCGCGTAGTAGGTTATACGGACAAGTAGAAACGTTGCACGTGCGTAAATAACCGCGGAAGCATTGGAAAAGCTGACGGTAAACGGGAGCAGAATGGTTCGGTGGCACGCACTAGCCAGAGATGGTTGAAACAATAGCGTCGAGTTAGGGGCAGTGGGCGAAAACACGGGCACTAGAACGGCTGGCAAAGGCATGATACGGATGTCAGCTGCGGCAACTACTTTATTGGGACGGTGGTGCACGAGATCGTGATGTGATTTGATCGATTTTAGCGAGAGATTATTCGACGAGCTTGCAAAGAGACAAGGCATCTTCGATGTAGCTGGTAAAGGCCTCGTCCTTGGACTGAACTCGACTACGCAGACACTGTATGGTTTGAAGTCCGCGCATGGCGGGACAACCAAAGACCTTGACGATGGTTGTCCTAAAGGTTGACCAGCTGGTGACTTCACCTTCGTGGTTTTTAAATCAGAGGCTGGCCACATCAGCGAACTAAAAACGCACTTCGTGAGCTTGTCGCAGTCATCTTTTTTTTTCGAAATCGCTTACGACTTCTTACTTCATGATTCAGTCCTCGACGTCATGCTCGTCGTTGCCACGAAATATTGGTGGATGGCGTGGCTGCGGCATGCCAGCACAGAAGACGGTCGTTGTTGTGGCAGCTTGCGAAGGGCCAGGATTAGTGACTGTGAACGGTGATGGTAGCGTCCGATTGCGAAGTTTCATGTTGATGGGAACCCGAGCTCCTTCACCACATGAAATAGCGGTGTTGTACGCAAGTGCGCGGAAACTACAGCGACAGATTAAAGTCAACCACCCGTACCTCCTCAAAAACAGGAATACAGATGACTTAGTCTCATTAACTCAAATTGGTTGTGGTGGACTTGCCTTACCATCACTATGACGTCAAAACTAGTATGAAACAAACCGCAGAAGCAGAAATTTTACCTGCAAGGACAAAAGAGCAACAATCCTCTTGTATTAAGACCAGAAGTACAAATGCAGTCAATAGGAGCAGTACACAGTAGCTTAAAAGCATACCCATCTTTAGCGCGACACACAAGACGTTTCATGTTCGTTCATGGAAGGAGGGACCTTTTTATGCCAATTTGAGGGCGGAAAGCCGAGACAATTAGCCATGCACACTTCCTTGTTCTGTTTCTTTTTTTCGTTTCGACCCCATACAGTGACTTTTGGAAACAACACAATCGGTGTTTAAAGACAAAAGATGCGTTTGCGAACCTGAGGCACATCGAGGATTTGGTTTGTCTAGCAGCGTACGTCCCTGTACTACCTTCCTTGTCACCTGTTTCACTGTGTTTAAAGCAAGATTGGCATACGGACGTATGAGTGTATGAAGAATATGAGTGACAAGTTATGATAAATATAATATATTACACCAGCTGCATACCTCTTCATCTGGGTAACGTTGGTACATATTCACTTTTCTCAGTGAATAACCTGTTCGCACAAACTCTTCCCATGGTCCGCTGCTTGTTAGTATGCTCCACAAGTTATTCATGTAGGACAGCGAAGCTAGGCCTTGAAAAGTTTATCAGAAACGTCGTAACAACTGTGGGAGTTATTAGTTCTTGCTTGTCATGTGTAAATCTGTACGATATTCCAGGGCATCCTTCTTTGCGCTTCAGTGGTGCATTGCAACCGCCGGGCTGTTTATCGTCCTTCGTGTGACATTGCAATTTTTCGTCATCACCTTCATTACTTCGTTGTAGCTGAGAAACTGGCTTGTTCAGCTCAAAAGTCTTTTATTCCGGGGTTTACACGGCTCCGCTGGCATATTTGCCTCACAGATATGGCGTTTAAAATCGTATAGAAACAAACTGCAAAGGAAAAAAACGAGAAAAAAATTGGCAGATCCCACGTGAAGTGGGAATCGATGATATGCGAAACACGAATGAGAAATAATGATATGTCACTTTAAAATCACCGAAACGTTACGAGGGGGAGGTAAACTATGCCGTACATGCCTTTCATGTCATGGTTATTCTGCTTGAATGTTTCGTTTACCTTCGTCATCTATTCACGTCACGTGATGCCAAATTTAGTATATGTTGAGCTAGCAAAACGGCTGCGAGCACGCTATGAATGTTATATGTGTTCATGTTCTTACATGACACGCGTGTCTTGATTATCTTGTTTGCACCAGTCATATGTCTTCTTCAACCATTTACATCACGTAACACCAAATTTGGTATATGTGGGGCTAGTAAAACGGCTGTGAGCACATCATGAAGGGCCTAGTGTACTCCGATGTAGCGTTGACGCGCATGCATGCTGGGCACAGCGAGGCTACGTTAGCAAAACGCGAGCACTCTATAGTGTGACGCCAGGCGCGACAAGCGTCCGTCGGCGCGGCCCGGCAGCATACAACGCGAAATGCGACATGCTACATTTCGCGCCGACGCGTTACCCAGAGAACGCTGCGTTTCTCTCTTTTTGTGACGGAGGCACACCGGATGCGATGAAACGTGCATGCGTCAAAGCAACGTACGCAAAGCGGCGCGCGCCTTCGAGTATATGACAGGACGGGCACCTGGCCTGGAAACGCCAGCGTAACGCGACCTAAGGAATGCTAGCGAGCAAGCGCACGGCGTCCCTTCTAAACGTATTGGCGCCTTGACTATGGCATGTAGTGATGCTGTTCCCACATGACAGGTATCTCATGATTAGCACGCTTGCACCAGTCACATACCTTCGTCACCTCTTTGCGTTACGTAATGCAAAATTTGGCATATGTGAAGCTAATGAAACGGCCGTGAGCGCACCATCAGTGTGGCATGTAGACATGTTGTTACATGACACGCATCCCATGTTTATCATGTTCGCACCAGTACTATACCTTCGTCAACCATTCACGTTCAGTAATAGCGAACTTGGTATATGTGACACTGCCTAAACGGCCGCGAGTGCATCATGAGCGTAGCATGTAGTCACGTTGTTACATGACATGCATGTCATGATTCTCTTGTTAGGGTCTCTCGCTTGTGTTCTCCATGCAATCATATCATACCACACCAGTTTTGCAACATGTTATGTGAACGAAACCACTGCAAGAGCTTCAGGACCATGAAATGTAAATGATGACATTCATGACATACATGCCATGACTTTCATGTTATGACTACTCAAATATGTTTCCCATGCAGTCATGTTATGCCATACCAAGTTTGGTATCGATATCATGATTGAAACAGCCAGGAGAGCTAAAAGTCGTAGGTGGCTAGATAGATAGATAGATAGATAGATAGATAGATAGATAGATAGATAGATAGATAGATAGATAGATAGATAGATAGATAGATAGATAGATAGATATGCTAAAAGTCGAAGTTTGCTAAGAAATGCTTCGCATTTAAAAAAGTAACAGAAAGACGCACTTTGAGCACAATCTGACCAGAAGGGTTGCCACTTTAAACTCGCTGGGCGTAACGTCTTTGGTTTTAGCAAAGTTGGCTTGCCTTTCTAAATTCGAAGCATTTCTTAGCGAACTTCGGCGACATTGAGCGTATCTATCTATCTATATATCTAGCTGCCTACAACTTTTAGCTCTCCTAGCCGTTTCGATAATGGTATCGATACCGTACTTGGTATGGCATAACATGACTGTACGAAGAACATATTTGGCTAGTCATAACATGAAAAGCATGACCCGCATGTCATGAATGTCATGATTTAAATTTAATGGTCCTGTAGCTCTTGCGGTGGTTTCGTTAACATGGCATGTTGCGAAACTGGCATGGTATGACATGATTGCATGGCGAACACAAGCGACAGACCCTAACATCAAAATCATTACATGCGTGTCATGTAACATGACTACGTTTCACGCTCATGAGGCACTCGCGGTCGTTTCGTGAGCGTCACATATACTACATTGAATATTACAGTACGTGAATGGATGACAGAGGTATGTGACTAGTGCAAACCGGATAATCATGAGATGCGTGTCATGGAAAAACAAGACTACATGCCACGCTCATGAACTCGCGGCCATTTCGCTAGCTTCACATGTACCAAACTCGGTATTAGGCGACGTGAACGGACGAGATAGGTAAATGACACATCCAAACATTATAATCACGACATCCGTGTCATGTAACAACATGACTACATGCCACGCTCATAATGCACTCGTGGCCGTTTCACTAGTTTCACATATGCAAAGTTGGTATTACGCTACGCCAATGAATGACGAAGGCATGTGACTGGTGCAAACATGATAATCACGAGATTCGTGTCTTGTGAGAACATGACTACATGCCATAGTCAAGACACCAACACATTTGGACGTGACGCGGTGTGCGTGCTCGCCGGCGTTCATTTCGTGGCGTCATGCCGGTGTTGTCACGCCAGGCGCCGGTTTTGCCATATACTGTTACGAAGCGCGCCTGCGATGACGTTACGAAGGGCACCACGAATTGCACCACTGACCTCCACTGTTGGGAAAGACGGCGACGCCAACACGGTCCCGAAAGCGCCACTGCTCCGATCTCCACCGTCACGGTCACCAGCCGTTTGGTAGCGTAGGTTTCTCAGCTCGTGACTCCTTCTGCGCAGAGCTGATAGCCGAGCGGACGAGACGACGGGGAGTTAAACAAGGTTTATGCACACCATATATACAGAGGCGTTGCAAATTCGGCACTGGGGCCGACAGCTTAGAGACACGAGCTCGCTTCTCTGACACATAGGTCTACTGCTCGCGACGCGCTGCAGGGCTTTTTTATATGCAGCGGGTGGATTCTTTGAGTAACCAAATGTCCAACCAGAAGCGCCGCTGGTCGTGAGGTCAGAATCCTCCAATGGGGTCGCCGCTGGGCCGCGTCATTCTCATCAAATCTGGAGCCGCTGCGCTGCACGTGGCTGCACCCAAGGACGAGTGACGTCGCCACGCATTGCGTCAGACTCGCCACACAGGAAGGCGCCAATTGCTTCGACGGGCTCGCTCGCTGAGGTGACTCACTGTATGTGCGCGGCAGAAAGGTACCGTCGCGTGATGACGCCGTTGAGTTGTTCGCGTCAGGCGGGCTCGCGTGCTGGCCTTGATACAGATTGCCTTTTTCAGAGGCATGGACGTTCGCTGTGGACTCGCAGGCATAACAATACTCACACGCGCGCGAGGCGCTGCGTTGCTTTGACGCATACGTTTCAGCGCGTCCGGCTTTCTTCCGTTACGAAAAGAGGGAGACGCAGTGTCTGGGTAATACATCGGGGCGAAACGCAGCACGTCGCATTTCGCGCCGGTTGTCGCCAGGCCGCGCAAACGGACTCCGGTCGCGCCTGGCGTCCGAGTGTAAGTGCTCACGTTTTGCTAACGTAGTGTCGCTGTGCACAGCTTGTGCGCAAGTCAACGCTACATTGGAGTATATTGGGTCCTTCAAGATGTGCTCGAGATACGCTCTAGGTGCCGACCAGTGTGGACGCGGGAAGATCACCTCTTGCTTTCAAGAATGCTTTCCTGTGGTATTCACGAATTTGTTGCCGAGTTTTCAGTCCCATCGTGTGCCTAAGTTTTCAAGAAATCAGCAGATACCACCTTTGTGCTAGTGAGTGGACTTTTAAACCCTTTTAGGGGCGAAGCTCCTTATGGCGTGGCTTGTGCGTCCCTCGTAGTACGTAACCAACAGTGGCACATACCCGAAATAGCGGTCCTTACGATTTTGACCTCCAAGGTGGTTCCGGTGAGAGATTTCTTTTGTGCGTTATTGAACAATGAAAAATAGTGCTCAATGCACATGTTAATGGCTGCTAAGGGGGAATGAGAGACAGGAGCCTTCGGCCTTTAGGTAACGCGCAGGCTGCGATTCCATTACAAGAAAGGGTTGCTACGTTATACTCGCTGGGTGTAACCTCCTTGGTTTTAGAAAGGTTTAGCGAGCGTTGGATCGCATAGCCGTGAATACAGTGAACTAGTATATACCATGAACTCGAGGTGGTTAAAGGTAGGAACTAAACCCGAAGCACAAGCCGTAAGGAAGTGTGCATGTGCCACCTCCCATTTAGTGCTTGAAACTTGAAATGTCCGCTGGATGGTGGTGCTTCTATATAGAGAATG